GGCCGCGGTCACTCGTGCTCGGCGGAGTGCCGCAGGCGTCGGGGGGAAGGGCTGCGGCCCACCGGGTATTGCGGCCGTGCGCCGGCCGCGTCCGGCGTTTTTGCCCTTGGTGTGGTAGTGCCTGCAGCACCGAAAAAGCGTGCTGTGTTCCCCCTCAAATTTGCGGCCTTAGGCTGTGGATGGTAGCTAGACACAAATTATATACTATAGGGAGGTTTTTCTTGTATGTCACTGAAGGGTAGTAACGTGTAACGTTTCTTCTAGCAGTTCCTAACAGCATCAATAGGCAGAGGCTTTCAGGGCAAGGAGGATACAAACCTAGGTAATATAGAGTTTTGCGTGCAAAAACCGTTGTACAAAAAGGAAAAGAGATTACAAGTAGAAGTTAAAATACATCAAGAGAATGGATTATGATGGGAAGATGAAGAAAAGCAAAGACAAGGATTATTTAAACCGTTCATTTCTACAGTATAGAGTAATTTTAGTGGTAGTTGAGCCCCTGTTTCAGAAATGTTCTGAAGCCTAGAATTAAGGGTACTAATACACTGGGCATTAGGTGGTGTTTCATTAGGTGACCAGAGCTCAATAAAGTGTACATTAATATATTTTTCTTCAAAGTCATCTAATGTATGTACTCTCTGTTTGGTGTGCTGATGAACTTTCCAAGAGGGGTTTGCAGAAATAGGCAAATAGCAGGGGAAGGTGCCTGAAAGTTGTTGATCAAAGATTTTGGAATAACCATAAAACACTTCTTCAGGTTTCACTATACAAGTCTTTGACTCAAAACCATTTGTAATGTTAACTTTACTATTTGCAAAGATGGCAAAAATACTATGGGGTAGAAATACTTAAGGATATCCTGTCCAAATAATTTAGTCAAATCTCCTAAACTACACCTACATAACAAGAAATGTATTTGCTGGCTTTTAATTATGTTGGTTTACTTTCCACAGGTTCATCTATCTAGGGAATGCTAGATTAATTAATTAATTAATTAACAATTAAAGGCAACATGGTTCTGTTCAAGTTACTAATTATTAAGGACACAAGCTGAAAAGGAGTTAGCAGGCTCCACATTCTCTTTTAAATGCCTCAGATTGTTTTAATTGATTGTCAGGTCTTATACTAATTCTTGTAAAATTACAAAAGCTTTTTACTTAAATATTTGTGAGACCCTTACTCAGTTGAGGATGTGCTAGTTTGTCCTCATTACAGAAAGATCTGTAATGCAGTGTCATACACTCAACAGGATGCTAAATCATAAATTACAGTAGAAATTACAACATGGTCTAATCCACATGGTGAAGCGAGATTTGGATTTGTTTCTATTTCTCGATTGTCCCTTAATAGCACTGAAGTTATGGTAGTATTATCTTAAAGAAGCACTAATGAGCTGGAAAATTGCCTGTTCTTACTAGTTTATGACTTCTTTTTCTCAAAACTGCCTTTTTGTGTGTGTACACTTCTGGATGGATTATTTTAAGATGTAGCCAAGTGACCAGCTGAGCAGAGGGTGAGAACTTAGATTGAAAATCTAAAAATATATCGATGTCCGTTGGAAGTAATAGCTTTCGTAGAAGCTTCCTGTTTCTCTGTCATTGGCAGATCTAAAGCAGAGGCAACCCTTTTTTTTTCAGGGCCCCACCAGCATGCTTTTATTGGCCTTTTAGGGGACAGTCTTCTTTGCATCTCCAGCTCACAGACACAGAGCATACTGATAAAGATGATAATTTTTCAGTTGCAGCCCTGCGTTTCCCATGCGTCTTTCCAAAAAATTTTTTTAACATTAATTGTGAGAAAACAATTCATCATCATGAGGTACTTGAAATTGTGTTTTCTAGAGATGCCAAAACACACTAGGAAGTACTAGAAATAACTTCAAAAGGTATCTCATTATCAAGAATTGTTTTCAATTTTTTTTGGATGCTTGTCAGAAATTCTTGTCAATCTCTGAAAAACACCAAAAAATCTGATAAGGATTTGAGGATTTCTGTAATCAATTACAGTATCTGTGAATAAACAGCCAAAACCACATGACTGTGAGCTGTGATTTTGGTTTTGTTATGGTTTGGTTTTTTTTTTTACATACATATTGAGGTGTGTCATCTCTACATTGTAAATCCTAATTTTTTTAAGTGCTTGCTTTTACTGAAGTTTTTATTTGCTGATCTGGCAGTTATATTTAGGGAAGGACTTTGCTTTATGTTGGGTTTGCCACGTCACCTGTAGAAGATTATGCCCATGTATTAGATACAGAGACATAAAGAATAACTGTTGAATTAGTTAATACACAGTTTGAGAACCTTTTGAATTGAGTTTTCTTGACATTGTCTTGTAAGTGTGAGAATACTTTAGCCATTTATATAATCTTTTTTTCATAATCAGAGAATATCCAGTGATCTACCCTTGATAGTCCCTTCAGGTGACTTGACTTTTAGAGTTACTCTGATTCTGTTGGGTTTATTTGATATTGGCATAATAAATACATTTGCATCAATGTATTTTAAGGATTATATTCCTGTCATGCCAAATAATTATTTAGGTGTGTAGTGCTAGTACTCTATAGCATCTTGGATTAATTTGAAACATCTAGAACTCTGCAGGATTTTGATTTCCTCACATCTGCTCTGGCTGCAAGTTATTTGATCAGGAATTGAGATAAAGCATCTTAGATACAGATTCCATACTTTACTAATTGAAAAGAACATAAAAGGTCAAGCAGAACACTCCTAATTGCAACTTGTTCATTTTAACTAATAATACTGCTAGAAAAAAGCTAATTCTATTGATGTTGTATCATCAGGTTTTGAAGGTTTTTAAATTATTACACAGAACCCGGCAAGAAGTTTTCAAAAATGATACCAGAGCCCTTGAAGGTGAGATTCTTTTTTTTTGGTGTGGTGCATGCTTACCAATATTTCTGTGGAACGTCCTTTTCTGGATACACAGAGAATTTTTAACATAATCATCCTTCAAATTATTCCCTTCCACATTTTATAAGTAATCATTGGGAAAACTTGTATGTCCATAACCAGACATCCTTTAATTTGAAACAAAAAACTAAGTTAGACTCAAACACTGTGCAAGGTTTAATCCTTGCTGGGATGAGAGAGCACATTGCCGTTGCCTCCCCGCCACCCGCGCCGGTCGGGTTGGAAGTTAAACACAGACCCCGGCTAAAATAACAAGAAATTTAATACAACAGAGTGATAGAACAATCTGAATAACAACAGTATCAATGGTCACAACAATAAACAGCAATAACAGTGAACAAGGCAAAAGATATACAGAGAAATACCGCTAAATGATCAAGGAGCAAACCCACCACGTGTTTGGCAAAAACCAACACCAGAAGAGAAAGGTAAAAAGGCTCCACCCCTGGACCTGAGGTCAGCATGGTATGAATAACCCGGCTGGAGATCCCTTCCCCCTCTCTCTCTGCTGGGGAAAACTTTATCCTGGCTGAACCAGGACAAACACTCAAGTCATATTTCATATGGAAAACATCTCTTTGGAACCTCAGTGATCTTCCTGGGATTTTTTTTTTTAAATTATGTTGAACTGCACTAAACATTTGAGTTGATTCTCTTTATGTACAGTTGATTCTCAGGGGATAAATACTTCTTTTTTAATAAACCAATTTATACCAGTCAACTTGAAATAAGACATCACCTGAATTCTGTGGGAATCTTCTAAAATAATTAAGGCAGAATGCACCAGGAACATGCTGTAAAGGACTTAGGATTCTGAGCTTTGAGGCAGCGACAAAGACGAGATACACTTTTTTGTTCACACTTCAGTTTTCTTGTTTATTTAGCTGCAAGACAAAAGATAAATGAAGAATTCAAAAACAACCAAGATGAAACATCTGAAGAGAAGATAAATGAGGTACTTCTTTTTTCATTGTTTTTTTCCACTTTGCATAATAGTACTTATATAGGCAGTTTTTACTTAAAGGATCTCTAAACCAAATTAAGTACTTACTTTTGTGAGAGCCAGGTGAGTTCAGAAAGGCTTTTTCATGGATCTTTGTTTATAAATATATTGATACCTCCATTGGTATTAATAGTACATTATAAAATTTTGCACATACAAAAACACATAAGGAGAAGGTGTCTAATGGTAGTTCAATATGCTTATTTTGAAACTTATAGTAAAACTATGGAAAAAATGTTTTATGTTGGTATGTTCATGTAAATATGTTGTATACTTTGCTCATAATATCTGAGCTGTGGTCACTTAAGTTTACCTGGTCTTCATTGTATAGACAAGCACAGAAAGATACAGAGAAATTATGTAATCTGCTCAGTTACTGGTGGACATGAGAAGTTATTTTGATTCCTGATCACAAATAAGGCAGCATTTTTTTATGGGATGCAAAAATCAGTCAAATGATCATGACTATTGTAATGTATAGGTATTAATTACACTACTGGGTTCTTCTGCTTCTTTGTTCCTCGTGGTGCCTTAAAAGGAACAGAAAATTCTCTTAACTCACTGTGTAAGTTACCTTTGCTCAGTTGTTACCTTAACAATTTTTTCTGAACCATTTTTCTGAAACTTAATGAGGTCTGAAATGAAACTTCTGTATCTCAGGTATTTTTAGTTCTTAACATTCATAGAGAGAGAGTAATTTAGTCCTTGTCATTCAGCCTGTTAACGGACTGTATTTAGACTATCCCTGGGCATTAGCTGGAAGAAAGTGCCTCCATCTGCCCTTTGCAGAAGTAAATCTAAACCTTTGCATCATACTAGCCACTAGACAGTAACATAAATAGTTCTGAGCATTTAGTTAGGACTTCCTATCATTTCTGCTTGTTACCAGACCCCTATAGTAATACTTACATATTTGTGTTCCTGGTGTCTGATCTGTTAAATTGTATGTTCTTTTTATTACAGATGTACAGGAAAAACTTGCTGTAATTTTCTATCTATATTTGTTAGGAATGGCAACCTACAAAATACACATGTAACTTTTTTATATGGTTTAATTGATATCTTTATTCAGTGTGTCAGTGGAAGAAATTCTAGACTTTAATCAGAACTACAGAATCCTAGAACATCATAGAGGCTGTCATTTATCGTATGTACATATAAATATATATACTGAATAGACTTGGTTGCAGAAGACCTGAATCAAATGATATATAGGACTTGTGAGAATCTGGGTGCTTGCTTGCATAAACATGGGGATGTTAGTGTTCCGGTTTGGACAGCAGCTAAAAAAATTAATACTGACCAAGCACTTATGCATTACTTTGCCAGAATAGAACACTGCAATGTCTTCTAGTGTGACATCAAATGCTTAGTTACCCCTGCCTCCTTAGGTCACTACATAACTATCTGCAGTATTAGAATGTGAGATGTGGCAGCTGAATCTACTGCAGTATTATAGTTCAGATCAGGAGTGCACTTTTGAAGTTACCTTGGTTAACTCCATTTCCTGTGAGTTGGCTTATTTTATGAAGCTGTCTCAGAGCAAATGGCAGAATTCCTTTAAGATGAATCTGAAGGGGAAGGTGTGCTTCCAGAACATGCAGCCTAGTTGCTGATGAACATTCAGTAGGGATACTGAAAGATACCTAGTCTAAACCCTTAAAAGGGAAAGGGAGGAGGAGAAATTCAGTGTAGATCTCAAATCTTGAGCTCTAACTCTTTCAAAGATCCCCTTCTGTTGGTACACACTACTTCCTAGTGTAAGCATATCTTCCAAAGTGTCTCAGTTGTGCAATTTCATTTATTTCTGACACAGGTATCATACAAGCACTAGGCTTCTCTTAATTGCTCTGCATAACTAGCAAGGATGCTTCTGCTTATCCTCTTAATGAGGGAAGGAATTCTAGGCCTTTTGCCAAATATTAATGTTTCTACTAATCTTTAGGTAGTGCCTTGTTCCTGTACTGCTTTTCTGTGAAACCTCAGTGTTCCTGATTCTTGTCATGTTTTGTCCTTTGCCTCCTTATTTCAAGAGGAAGAACATTAAAAGAACGAATTGCCCTTTCACTAAATGTTACTGAGGCATTCACCAGTGTCTTTGATCACTGAAAGCTAGTTACTTGTTTTGGTAGCTGCATTCTACCTTTGCCATTTTAATTGCCTATATAGATTTTATACTGCTGTATGTTACTGAGCAGAAGTTTCATTTCTCTCATGCTGTATGTCTAGGTAACTTATATATCAACCTGTAAATTATTCCAGGATCCCAAAAGTAAAAGCTATGTATATATAGTGCATAACTAACTGAATAATAGAACTGACTGTCTTTATTATTGGAATAGCTGCCTAGTATGGAAAATGCCTCCGGAATAATCACATATAATTTAAATTACTTTATTGTATTGTTTGTGTTGGGTTTTTTTCCTTTTTCTAGCTTCTGAAAATAGCTTCAGATGTTGAAGTGATTCTTAGAACTTCTGTTATTCAGGCAGTTCACACAGATTCCGACAAAATATGTGAGTAAAGCTGCATGCTAATAAGATGTTTAAAAATATTGTTCACTAAATAACTATAAAATTTGAAAGGTAAAGGGATAGAGAGGGCAAAAATCTGCCTATCTGTCACTTCTCTGCACAAACCCTTAATTTAAGCCCATTTTCTAATGACACTACTTAGGACAGGTGGACATTTCAAAGGTACAAAGTTTTTACACAAATACTTTTAAATACAGAGGGTCATAGAAAAGAGGCAGTGACTGAATTTAATGCCCTTATTGAGATAAGTTATAGCTTGGTACCTTATGAGGACTAACAGCAATTAGGTAGCAAGTCAGCATGTGGGTAGTGGCTAGTCAGTGGGTGTATGTCTAAACGAAGTAGCCACAGTTCCTGTAGGTGCTTGTTCTACCAAATAGGTAGAAGCTGTCTGAGGACAAATAGCAAATGCAGTATGTATGCTGTCCACAGAGTAGCTTTTTTCTTTGAGGATTGGTTATTTTTTTCCAAATCTCTGTTCTGACAATTTAAATTTCAGATTATGCCTTACAAAATTTGTGACACAGCGATGGCCTTGATGCAAAACGTATCAAATTCTGAAATTTTGGTTCCTGGTTTTAGAAGCTCTTTCCTTTTACAGTCAAAAACAAGAGAAGTAGTAGGTTCACTGTACAACTATGTGGTAGAGGGTAGAAGAAATCTTCAGCTGGTGTACATTGTTTCCTTTCACTTCTGTTTAATGGTGTATGTAAAGCTTTGTAACTTATTTTCAGCTTTAGGTTTGGTAAAGCATTTAACTTTAGAATGGCCATTATGATTATGGCTGAAGGTATGTGTAGACAAGTGTTGAGTCTTCCCCAGTGATCCTAGGCAAATGACAGAGGAGTAGGAACACAGCAAGTGAACTTTGACATCTTCCAGCCATTTATACCTGGCAGCACTTCCTGAGTGAGGGTTGGTTTCTGTTTTAGTTATCCTCGGCGTCTTTCTCTCTAATGAACTTGTCAACCTAGGCAAATTTCTTGCATCCAAAAACCTTTGACAAATAATTTTTTTTAAGAATTGCTTGCTGTAGTTTTGAATCTAGTCTTACTCATCAATTACTATCCATTTTCACCAAGCTGTTCATGAGTTTTTAAGCCCCTTATTGCGCCTCTTTTGTTTTTTTCTCCCACTATGGAACAGCTTCTCTGTGAAACAACAAGTAAATGCCTGTGGTCATTCTGCTGTTCATCTCTTCACTCTTTTCAATTCTACTGTCTCTCTCTTGAGATCATTAAGAGCTTGCTCTCTGTCAGAGCTGAGCACAGTCATCAAGCTATGGTCAAATCAGGCATTTATACACACAGTGATGGCACAATGATGTTTTGTCTTTCATTCTCAATTAGTTTCCTAGTCATTCCTAATTCTGAATTTCATTTTTGGCTGCTGTGCATCCATATATTTATTTATTTTTACAAAATTATCTTGTATTCATTATACCCATCTGAATGGTCATAGTCAGTTTTGAACCTGTGACTTCATTTGTGAAATCAGTATGGGTTTTTTGACCTGTATGCATTGCATGCCTCTACAGGTAATTTCATCTGTCATTTTACTTGTTACTCAGTCAAGTTTTAAGCTCATCCTGCAATTCTTCACAGTAAGCCATTTTCTTAAAGAACTTATGCAGGATGGTAACATTAAAATCCATTCTTTTTGCAGTTACTTACAAATATATTGAACAGCACAGATGCCAACAAAAATACCTGTAGAACTCCACTTTTGACATCCTTCTATTGGGAGACCCAGTCATTTATTGTTCACTTCCTATGGTTTAACCAGTGACTTATCCATGTAAGATGTTCTATCATAATAAGGCTCTTGTTTTCTGTAAAGCATTTGCTGAGGGACTTTTGAGAATCCCCAAGCATGTTGTGGAGCTGTTCAGAGAACTCCCATGAAGGACCATTAAGACAGAACTCCCCTTGCAAAAGCCACATGAAATTATGTTCAAATACTAATTTATATTCTAATACTGTGTGTGTAGGGATGGGGTTAGAACATCCAAAGCCCACCTGGAGTTGATCTTGGCAAGGAGTGTAAAGGATGGCAAGAATAGCAGCTACAGGTATATGGGCAACAAAGGGAAGAGGCAGGAAAATGTGAGCCCACAGCTGAATAGGCAGGGGACCTGGTAACAAAGGACACGGAAGAGACTGAGGTACTCGCTATCTTCTTCACCTCAGTCTTTACTGCTCAGGTTTGCCTTCAGGAGTCATGGGCCTCAGACCCCAGGGAGAACCTGGAGTGAGGCTTTTAGTTTTGGTAGAGGAGGAAAAGGCTAGGGAGCATTTGAACAGATGGGTACATACACAAATCCATGGGACCTCATGTGCTGCACCCATGGGTGGCGAGGGAGCTGGCTGATGTCATTATGAGGCCACTCTCAAATCAACTTTGAAAGGTCATGGTGATTAGGGGAGTTGCCTGAGGATTGGAAGAAAGCAAATGTCACTCCTCTTTCCAAGAAGGGCAAGAGAGAGTATCTGGGAAACTGGTCAGCCTCACCTTGATCCCTGGGAAGGTGGTTGAGCCAATCCTGGAAGCTGTTTCCAAACATTCTAAGGACAGAATGGGGACTGGGAATAGTCACCATGAATTCATGAAGGGGAGAACTTCTCTGTCCATTCTGATACCCTTTTACAGTGGAATAACTTGACTCAGCAGACAAGGGGAGAGTAGTGGTGATTGTCTCTTTTGACTGTGTCAGAGCTTGGATGCTGTCTCCTTTAAAATTTCCATAAACAAAAAGTGATAGAAGTGCTCCCACCTAATTTTAAGACTTCTTAGAGAAATGGTAGTAATGGGGTTTGTGCGGAAGAAGGAGGTCTTCCAGAGTCTAGTACTGGCCAGAAAAACTGTCCTGCAGCAAAAAATCTGGAGTGCATCTATACACAGGGTGCATTTGATCTGCTTATGAATGCAAAGGATGTCATTATGCAGTCTCTTGCCCATTTTTTAATTTTTTCTGTATCTGTTTTGGATATGTCTGAGCTTTGCTTCTCACTCTGTAATTGATCTTACTGCAGTGAGAACAAAACAGTTGTCTTGAAACAGCCATCAGAGTTCAAGAGCTGTCTGTTTTGTGTGTGTTTGGAATATTTAGTCTTGACAATGTAGTGAGTCACCAATTAAAGGATCAAGAATTCTTAGAAAAGACAGAAAATCATGATAGAAGGTCAAAGAATAAGAATGAGTAGTATAAAAAAATGTACAGAATGGATAGATATTCTTGCTTGTCCTGGTATAATTAAAATGTAAAGAGCATTCAGTGGATTTGGAATTTACATTCAAAGCTAATACAAAAAAAAAAAAGCATTTTTATTTTGCACAATAAATAATACTTAAAGGTCATAGCAATGAAAAATCTTTGTGGCGAGGAGGAAGGTTATTATTCAAAAGTACAAAAAAGCAGATCAGACTTGAAGCTTAGCTTGATCCCATAGTGAAAGAGTAAAAACAATTCTCCTTATAGAAAGAATATACAGACCTTTATACCATGGTAAATTGATAAGTAGCAGAACAGTATTCCTAAGTCCCATTTTTTGAGCAGGCTCCTAAGTGTGTTTGCACCTTTCCTAAGAAGCCAGCTTTGATTCATCAGCACTCTGAACTAGGCAATTCTGATATAGCTTTTGTTACACTGTTAATGTCACTAGTAGCACAGGGTATACTATTAGAAAATACTAAACCAGAAATTAAGAAGTTTTAGGAGGTTAATTGTCACCGTATTTTGATAGTAGTTTATGCTGAATAGCATGGTCAGTATGTTGTGTGAAATTGTACCTGTAAATAGGTGTGGTTTCTATTGCTGCTCCGTTGTGTTGAATATCTTACTGTATTGTTTCCATCCTTTCCTATTTGTAAAGAAAAGTTGTCTGAGATTAAAAAGAGGAAAAAAGTTGGAAGTGGGACTTCAGCTTCCAGTTGAATCTATGGCTAGGTGTTGTCATGGTTTAACCCGAGCCAGCAACTAAGCCCCACACAGCCACGTGCTCACTTCCTCCCAACTGGGACAGGGGAAAGAATCAAAAGGGTAGAAGTAAGAAAACTTGTGGCTTTAATAGGTAGAGTGAAAGCCATGTGTGCAAGCAAAGCAGAGTAAGGAATTAATTCAGTACTCCCCGTCAGCAGTCAGGTGTTCAGCCATCTCCAGGAAAGCCGGACTCCATCATGTGTAATGTTTACTTGGGAAGATAAATGCTGTAACTCCAAACATCCCCGTTTCCTCCTTTTTCAGCTTTATTGCTGAGCATGATGTCAAATGGTATGGAATATCCCTTTGGTGACTTGGGGTCAGCTGTCCTGGCTGTGTATCCTCCAAACGTGTTGTGCATTTATATGATGAAAATACCAAGTGGATCTTCTCACTCCCCTTTGGTTTTTTGTCTCCTAGGAGCCAGTTTCTGATGGAAAGTTTGTTATAGGAAGGGCTTCTCTGTGTGTGTATGTCTATGAGTCTACTTTTAGGTAGCACATTGAATGAGTGTTCAATTCCAGTACAGCTTTGATTAAAGAAGTTTTAGCAGAACAAAATCAACCTTTTTGAGCCTAAATCTGTGGTAATTATGATACCAGTAGAATTGCAGAGGCTTGGGACATATTTATTAACAAAAAAAAAAAAAAAAAGAAAAAGTGGAAGGGCAGCTCTAAGGTGGCTGCTTGAGTTGGCAAATAAAAATAAGCAACCTCAGAGAAAAAGTTTACTTTTCATAGTGCTTCATCTTAGGTCCTACAGGTTTGTTTTGGAAACTTTGTAGATGAAGGTTTACTCTTCAGTAATAGAAATCATATTGGCCTATTTGTAAAAAAAGAAAATGTTGTAAAATGCTTACATTTGGTCTGTATTTAAATTAGTATTATGGGTTTTTAAGTGATCAGTTGCTATATTTAGGAAAGAAGAGCCGGGGGCGGGGGGGGCAGGTGCTGAGAACAGATAAAGAAACTAGGTACAGTGTTTCAGAAACCTGTTCCCGCAGGTGCTTTCCTCCACTTACTGTCAAAATCTTTTGGCTCTAACTTTTCATATTATAGCTGACAATACACACAATTTAGATACACTTGGTGTTTTTAGTTGGTTTTTTTTCTTCAATCCTGCATCTCTAAAAAATAATTATTTAATAACTGAATAGAAAAATCCAAAGACTTGTCTTAGACAGTGAGAATAAATATTGGTAAGGGGAACGTTTTCCCTAATCAAATGAAATCATTCTGTGCTGTCATAGAAGCAGTGCACAGGGCAACATTATTCTTTAAAAATAATTTGAGATGCAGTGGTGTATGCTCATGTTGGGATTCACTGGTAAATCTTTAAAATAAGAAAAAAAGAAATTGAGCTGATTTTCTTACTAAAGAGAACACAATTTAAATTAGGAGCTTGTTAGACAATTTTTCTGATTTTTTTGTTTGTTTGTTTGTTTCAGTCTGAGTTATGTTAGTGTACAAATGTCTTGGTTCTATTCATTTCACTTCAATTTCAGATTAAGCTGATACAAGTAGAGCTTACATTTTTGTCATATACGTGGGGTGTGTTCTGATGATTTTGATCTGGTGCTTTGGCAGTGTTTGCTCAAAACTTAGCTTTGAAAAGGAAGGTTAAAAATTATTCTTTCAGTCTTTGTTTGGACTCTTGTTTTTCATTATATGCAATCCTGTTTCTCTTTGGTATTTCTGTTTCATGTACCTATTCTAGGTGTCTAGATCAACATGTTTTGTTAATCACAAGTATTGATCAACAAAGTGAGTTGTAAAGAAATACTTGTTTACTCACAGGTATTTTGTCTAAGAGAAATGCAATTGAAATATTAGTTAAAGCTCTTAGAAACTTATTAAATGCGTCAGTATCAATACACAGATGCAAAAGGAATATAACTTCAATGGAATCTGTTTTCTTGTAACACATGGGGTATCAGTGCACTTTGTACAGAATGTTACTCATTACATACATGTGCACACAAACACACAGAGTTTTACAGGTTTACTATACCTTTTGCAGCTGTCTGACCTAGTCAAAGTAAAGCATGATTTCAGGTGCTTGTGCCGTAGTTTTTACTGCTGGAGCAAATCTGACATCACACAACTCCTTGCCTTCATGAAGAAAGGATGAGCTGATTTCTGAAGGGCTAGAAGGCAAGAACTTAGAGTCAGGAAGAAGTTAAAATGATGTATAATTGGACAAACCTTAACACACCACACTTCTGTGATGATATAGTGGCCATAATTTTCATTTGATGCTTTCTTTTCCTACTGGCCTTTAAAACAAGTGTAACAATGAATATTACAGATCAGATTCCAGGATGCTGAGGGAAAAGGCTAAATCAAATTAAGTATTAATTTGTGGAGCTGTTGAACTAAAACATAGTCTGATTTAGGCATGATAAAATTTTCTTTCTTGCTTGCTAAAAGTTACAGCAACACTTTACCATTTTTAATGGATTCTTAATGCTATTAATATATTTTTAGTGCTTCAGGAAAAAGGGAAAGGCAATATTCTGTCCAAAAGAAAGTAAAAATCTCAATAGAATTTTGTCTTCGGTAGATACCATGATGCTACTTGTATGCTTACCAGAAGTTCAGATTCTCATTTTAGTAACCTGATCTTTTTGTAGTAACCTGTTTCTGTAGTAACCTGTAAATGTAAAAACAACTTTAGAATTTTAAATAGTATTTTCCGTAAGATTATATTCTTACAGTTTTTTTTCTGTTACAGTGCTCATACCCAGGAAAGATCTGCTACAAGACAACACTCCTTACTTTGATAAACCAACATAAAAGTATGATTCCTGAGGGAAATATGCACCTCCCCTCAGAAGGTTAATATCCTGTAATGAGATCTCTGAAAACCGGTAGTAGATACCTGTTTTAAAGCTAATTTTTAAAAACAGTTAAATATTTTTATCAGGAAAATGAAACTGAAACTGAGTCAACAATTTTATTGTGTGCTGTAACACCATCATGGACTACTTCTGTGGAAGATACTAATACTTCCACAGAAACTCAAGACACGCAGTTCTATTAAAAATAAACTGCTTAATTGTGTTACTGTTTTTCATTACTTCAAAGCAGCATATGGTTGACAAACTTTAGAAAAAAGTGTTATCAGGATTAAGAACCGCATTTAACAACAGTCTTGTGGCACTTACCATAAAATTTATGCTTTGAACCAGAGGCACGATTTCTGAAGTTGTCATTAATTGTACACTAATATACTGTGGTGTTTGAGAGAGTTCTTGAGATTTATCTGAATAATTTATTCAGGTTTTACAGATGGGAGAGTGTGTGTGGTGTTTTTCTTCTCCCTCACACGTTTGAACAAGCAGGAGTGGCAGGGTTTAAGTTCTTTTGACAGTGGAACAAGACAACTCAGCCACAACCTAACCTAAAGATGTTGGTTTAGATCATATGGTTTATGAATTTGTTTCTATTTTATCTTATGATTATAGAGTGACTTACTGAGGCATTTTCCAAAGAGAAGAGGCTTGTTGCTTACTTGCAAGTGATCAGAAGTGGAATTCATCACAATGATCTGTTCACTTACATTTTCATTGGAACCAGAGACAACTATGGTGATATATAGAATCTTCTCTGTGAAGTTGGTAACAGCCACCACACTAGGATCTAAACACCTCACACAGGAGTGAAGTAGTCCAGTGTCATGGTTTGAACCCAGAGGGCAACTGAGTACCACACAGCTGGTTCACTAACCCCTTACACCCATTGCTGGGGAAGAGAAAACGAATTAAAAGGCTCAGGAATAGAGATAAAGATAGGGAGGAGTGGGTCACCCATTAATAATCGTGAGCAAAAGAGAGGTAATAAAAAAAAAAAGAACATAAATTCAAGCACTAACGAAATCAACACTTAGCAGACAGAGTGGGACAGTGAGAAGCATCACCACATTTTCAAAGCACCTCCCCTCACCCCTTCCTGCTTCCTGGGCTCAGTTTTGTTCCCAATATCTCTACCACCTCTCCTCAGCAGTGCAGAGGCAGGGAATGGGGGATTTTCACTGCTTCTTACTCCAAGGTTGGGGGGAAACACTCCTCTGCATTCTTCCCTGCTCCACAAATGTGCTCGTCATGAGTCTTCCGCATGGGATGTGTTCTTCTTGAGATGCTGTGGCATGGGTCACCCCTACATGTTGCAGTCCTCCCAGTACCAAACTACAACAGCAGGTGCTGCTTCTACCCACAGAGCCCCGCGAGTTCTCCACAGGCAGAACTCTGCTCCTCCTATGACATCCATGGACTACAGGAAGACAGCCCTGCTGTCTCACTGGTATACAGTGGGGCTCTCAGCTCCAGCACACCTCTTCCCCTTCCTCCTCAATCCTTCCACTGACCTCGGTGTTCACATGGGTGTCCTTCTGGTAGCTCCTCCTCACCAGTTCCAAGTCTCTCTCAGATTCCCCTTCTTAAATGCATTATTGCAGAGGCAAAGCCACTGGCTCAGCTTTGGCCGGGGGCGAGTCTGACTTGGAGCTGGGAGAGCTTTTGAGAAGCTTCTCACAGGGGCCGCTGCTATAGCCCTCTCCCCTGCTACCAAAACTCCACCACATAAACTCAGCACACCGAGTAATACCTCTCAGGTCTATTTCAGGTCCAAGTGATCTTGCATATTTTTAATAAACCTCCAAGATGTCAATATTGCATATTTGAGTTCTGACATGGTTTCAATAACTGACTAAAATGGAAAACTAGTGCCTGCATCCAGTCTCTTTTCTTCACAGAGCATGTCAGTGCGGTAAGTTCTCCTTTCTTTAAAACTATTACTTCTGGCTGCCATGGGCAGGGTAACCAGCAGAGAATATGTTGTGAGTATCCCTCTTTCAGTTGCACTGATAGTGCATGCCTGCTCTGTAGCTAGAAGGCAGCAGGCAAATGATGGCGTGTAGGATGAAATGAGTGCAGTCCTTGCTGTTTGTTGTGGTCGAGCAGCTCCACTACAATCATGTCTGTCTGTAGGGGATTTGCTGTTCTAGGCCTCTTGTGTTGTTTATTTCCCTAAAGACAAGGCATATTCTATGTCTGGTTTCCCACCATTCTGCAGCTTGCCTACACTGAATTTTTTTTTCCCTAAGTAGCTTAAGAAAGAGGTATGCAAGGAAGGGAAAATAGAAGGTAGCTGCAGCTGCAAAGAGACAAAACAGACCATTACCTCAAGTGAAGTGATTGGTTTAATAATCATCAAATAATTAAACAGAGGTCTGGCAAGAATCATAAATTGTACAACCATTAAGGTCAACACACCATGTCACACTGTAATTGGGGGGAATTTATCTCTCATAGACCCATTGCTTTAGGCTATGGGAGTAGTGTATCAGTGATTTTATCCTTGAGATTGATTTCATAAAACTGAGGCTTGGTAGATCTTTGGACTTGGTACTGATGTAAAGTAGTATTGCCTGTTATGCAAAGTATGTATTAAAGTATGATGTTGACAGTAGATGGCAGTCTTTTGTACGATGTTTGAGGAAACAGCAAGTGGAGAAAATATTTTCATGTGACTATTGCTTCAGTATTGTTCTGCTGTCATTTGTTTTAGGTTGTTATTTTTAACAAGAATTAACTCATTAATAGATAGTATGGAAATGTCAACTGACAGGATTATCCTTGGGATTTGACAGGCATTTATGTGCTTCATCTTACCTACATCGTGAATACTCATAGTAAGAATACAGAATGAGTCACCCAGATAACATACACAACTGCTAATATAAAGGACATGATTAAAAAAAGTTGGTAGAATTTAATGGCCTCCAGAACAATTCTCCTTACACTCCTATGCAGTATGTTTGTGGTCTGTGCATTAACATTCCATGTTCCTGCTGTCTTTGTGCACTCCTGGGCAGCAAAGACAAACTGAATTTTGCAGTAGTGAGGTAAGTAAACTCAAGCTGATAGGCAAAAGTCTGCTAATGTAACAGACTGACAGTCCTATTTATTACTCCTGTTTCAATGTGATCTTAAATAAGGATTGAGGGGCTATCCAGACCAGGATAAATAGGAATTCCAAATAAGGAATTGAGCCTAGAAGTATCTCAGACTTGGTCACAGTCTGGGCCCAGCAGGCGTTTAAAAGCTTTCTGCAAATCTAACCTTCCCGCCTTGAAAGACTCACAAATCTGCTTAATGAGAAGCCGGTAATCAAAGGCTTCTCTGTGCTAGTTGGTGGTAGTGATTGTTCCTCTTCCCCTTATTCCATGCTTACCTGTTGGCTCATGTTTCAGTCATCTCCCCAGCTTCTGCTTCTGCTTCCATTTTCATTTCACTCTGCATATGAATCTGTTCTTGATACTGCTGGCTTCGTGCTCATATACGCCTGTATTTCCTTAATTAATATCAGTAGTAAATAATGTTAAAAATACAGGATGTATTGCTGCATTCCCTCTGCAAAGTTTGAAGTGCTATCTGAAACTGCTTAAAACTCTACAGGGAATTTCACTTAATGACTTGGGAGGAGAAAAGGTTGATTCTTTACAAGAGAAACTGTAATTTAATAGGCTCACAATAACACAATTCAATTACATTTAACTTTTTCAGGTTTACTGGAACTGCAGATTTTTTTCTTTCAGACTATGCATCATCAGTATTAAAAGATAAGCCTTAAAGGTAATAGTTCTTTAAACTAATTTAACTATGCCTTAAATAAAAAAAATCTGTAGAGATCTTTTGGAGGCAAGCAGGAAATGTTGCTGAAGAGGCTCACTGCTTGTTCAGATCTGCTACAATTCAGCTGCTATAGCCAAGAGATCAGTATGGTCTAATTGCTTGGTGTCTGGAGGTCCCTTCATGACCTGTACAGAACACTAACAGTGATGTTTAGAAGGACCTCCTATTTTAAAAGTGAGTTTCGCTCCACTTGAAGTAGTCACATGCTTACACAGAGTTTGGCAGAACAGATGTCACCTTAATGATCACACGTAAAAAAATTCTAAGCACATCAGCTTTTGACGTCATCATCTGATGTGTCTGTTAGAGCCTTCTGCCCTGATATTCTTCATGAAGTTTTGACATGGTGTACACTGTAGCTTTAATGAAAGCATTAAATTCAGCCAAAGAGTATTTCCTGTTTAAGTATTACGTTTTGGTTTTGTTCTAATTACCTTTCCCTCTCCTTTATTTAACAGTTTCAAAATAAAAGGTTTCTTCATTTTTTTTCTGCAAGCTGTAGCCTAGGTTAGGGATCAAGTATTGTATTAGTAGATAGTGATATATATTATATATAGTACTATAGCCTCATGTTCATAAAACCCAAGTGACAGATTTAATCTATGAATTTATTTTGTTTGCATGGTGTGCTAGTTTGAAAACAAACTAGTGGGAGACACCAAGTCAGAATAACAATTTCATAGGGAAATTAAAAAAAGAAAAAATAAAGGCAGATAACACTGGGTTAAACTAACAGAGTCAGGATACAACCTGACACCCTGTTAATCAGGGTGGTGGTAGCAGTCTGGTAGAATGGTGGCTGCAGTCACCCTGAAGTGGTGATCCTGTAGAAAGGTCTGCTCTTCCTCAGAAAAGTCCAGTGGTGGCTTAGTAGCTCCTGTCCTCTGGAAATCCAGTGGAAAAGAGAGCGTCTCTGGTCTTCCGAATCTCAGATTATATCCAGTATGGAATGCTGGTTTTCTCCCTCTGGGTGGAGCATCTCACAATGGACAGGACATAATCTACCCCTTATGCTATTATCATCTACATCATCCCAAATCAATACCTTCCTTAAACTCTACACACCCACCCACACACATATATACACAGTGAAACCCTACACAGAGTTCTTACCTAAGATTAGGTCTCCTTGTGGTACACAATGGGTTTCCCCATCTTTCTGCATTACCCACCAAGTGTAACCAGGTCCTTGAGCAAAGACAGTCCCATGGATGGGTTTGCCTTTACCTGAGGTGGGATTAATCCAAACAGCCTTTCCTAAAATACCTCTCAGGTGTACCACAGGGACTGTCTCCATCCACTGTGTGCAAGGGTTCAGACTTGGTGGGACCAGCTCAATTGATGGACCCTCATGTATTGACCATCCAGGTGGC